AGTTTAGCAAAAAAGTTTGGTACTTAGCAGACCGAGGCAGAAGGCGTCCTACCAGCGCGGCGGTCAGAAGAGAACTGGCGGGATCTGCGTGCCCCTCCTTGGTCATGCGCAGTGGGGTCGGCGCGTGACCTGGGAGAGGCGCGAAAATCCCTTTTTGCTAGCTATCGGTACCGAGAAGGTTCAGCGCAGGCGCAGTGTATCCCAAGGGTGTGATGCACAGAGACCACGAAGAAGATCATTACCTTAAAACCTCAGAAGCACCAAATGTTGCAGCAAACAGTTACCACACTTCTAATAACACTCCTTTGCATTTATCTGTAACTAGAAGTGTTGACAGCACTTTGTGTGTATCTCTCAATAACCGTTACAAGGTATAGTCACCCTCATATCGCAGGACACGGGCAGGGAGGTGCAAAGGAAGAGAAGAAAGATGACAGAAATGCTTGTTTTCCTTTCCACCACCTTCTTTCTTTAAAAATATACAGGCCAAAAGAAGAGCAAGAATGTGATTGGATATTTTTTATAAGATGGCACTCTTGTCATTTCCTGAAGGAATCATGGTTGTGACTTTGGTTTACCTAACACAGAACAGGATGTGGAAAATGCTTTTGGTTTACTCTACACTAACCTACCTTTTAAAAGACAGATTTAGGTGGGTAGCTGTGTTGGTCTGAAGCAGCAGAACAAAGCAGCAGAATAAAGCTTGTACCCAGAATTAAACTTTGTTCGTCTTAAGGGTGCCACTGGACTCAAACTTTATTCTACCTTTAAAAAGAATCATATGATAGAGACAGCACACCAGTGCCTGCAAGGGGGAGGTTTAGCTTCCTGGCAGAGACTGAGCGTGGAAGTGGACGCAAACGCCCCCTGAAGTTCACGGAAGCAGCTGGCCCAGTTACAGCATGAATGCCTGAAGAGTTGTGGCTCAGGACCTGCTTTTCAGCCTACGGTTTCCATGCAGTTAACAACAATTTAAAACCCCAATAAAATGATACAGGGCTTGTCTACAGTTGCCTCGGAACTAGCCAGTCTCAGCTTGCCTGCCCCTCCCTTCTTTGCAGTCTGAAGTCTGAGTCATGACAGCGCATGAGCCGGAGGGGGTGGGGAGTTATGAGGGATGTCATCACAGGCCCTACTCAACTTATGCCTTGACACTTCCACAGCCAGCCACCTTCTCAACAGCCACCCAAACTGTCATGGAGAAAAAAGAGTCATGCTTTCACAGCAACACAACTGCTGTTTGAAGCTGAGGAAGGGCATGTCCCACAAAACAAAGGCACCTCCTTGAAAAACAGGACCTCAGTTTCATACAAGCAAGCAAGCAAGCAACACTTGTGTACAATTTGCAATATAAACTGATAAGCTGGAAAAGCCTGAAATACTACCACTGCCAGAAGACTCTTGCTCCCCTTTGCGATAACCTCATGGAAACATCATACAAAATACACGTTTGCTCTCTAGGCTCTGGAACAGTCTCACTGTTGAAGGCAGACACGAACCACTTAGATAATGTGAAGGTGACTGATCCACCTCCCTAGTCACCTCTGGAACGCACCTTTATTTACCCATTAAAAATTTTACATCCTGCTTTTCCTTGTGGTTTAAGGCAGCTTAAAATAACAGTTAAAACATCCCCAGAGAAAACAAAAAATAAAGTAGCCAATCCCAAATTTCTCCCTCCCCCCCTTAAAAGATGCCTGCCATTCAAACCGCCTCAAAAGGGCAGGCCATGCAGCACCTTCTGAAGATCTCCAAGATCTCCCTTCACCTCTTCAAATGGCCCATTTCACTGAGCCACGATGGAAAGGGCTTGGGCGCTGGCCAATGCCAGCCGGGCCACCCGAAGTGGTAGAACAGCCAACAGACAGCTGCCTGATGACTGTAGCTGGCACATACGGACATACAGAAGGAGACGGTCTTTCAGTCACAATCCTTTAATCACCTTGAATCACAGGTACCTACCAGGGCTGGGAGTTTTGCTTGATCAGAGTGCGTACACTAGAAAGGTAAGAAAGGAGCCATTTAAGGTACTAGGTGTGAATTTGGATTCTGGAATGCTGAAATGATATTACTTTGGAACAGGTACTGCCTGTTTATTTACATGTATTCCTAAAACACCTGCCCAACTCAAACATTTGTCAGCAAACTAATTATTGCATAAGTGTCCACTGTTCTTTCCTCCATAAGTGATGCCAAAAGCTCCCCTGAGCTCCCACGACCTGGAAAAAGAGAAAGCATTACGCAACTCCTTAAAGATCCCTACTCAACTGAATTCCATGTTGCTCATACAGATGCATGCCAACCAGGAAGCAATTCAGACATTTGTATAGGTTTCCTCTATTACTAAAAATTAAACATTTTCATAGGGAAAAACCCACCCTGAAGTTAATGTTTTCAATGTTGTTTCAGAATAAGCCAGTGTTGTAATCTGGCAGTGTTCCTTCCGCTTTTCCTTACCTGCTGCTCATCCTCCATGACATTACTGGCGAATTCAAACATCAGGTCATTCTGTTGTACTACTGCTGCCATAATAAAGCATTCCAAGGTCTCAGTTCTGCATGAGAAGAAAATGCTTCTTTGGCGTAAAGGCACAGAGGTGATCACCAAGAGTCAGCTACTTGGAGCAAAAGTCCTTGAAGTCAGTTAAGTGCCTGAATGGAGAATTCTTATTCTACCAGCTAGCTTCTCATAAATTTTCTCTCTTGATGAATGATACAAACTGTAAAACTTCTTCCTCAAGTAGTCTTCTCACCTAGAAACCCCTGAAAAATAAAAACAAAATAATTCAGTAGCAGTCATAAAAATGAAAAATAAAAACCAGCATAACTGATAACAAAGTCTGCCATCCCTTTATTCAAGGTGCTGAGGGGCATTACTGAGAACAGCCAGCCAGCCAGCCACAAATGATTAATTCTTACCAACTCTGCAGCACAGATTTTAGTAATTAGCAACCAAGAAGCAGCTTCAAAATCCAACCAGCTCCAAAGTGGTCAAAATAAAGTTATTGGCTATGTCAAATGGTATCACTTCATGTGGTATATTTTCGTCCTTACTTAACAGAAATATCCTGCAAAGTTTCTGTCTTGCCTGTTTGACAAATGTCTCAATTTGCCACCCTTCTAACACATACTACAGATAAGCAATCTTTCTGAAGATGCAGAAAAGCTCACTGCAGAATCTTAACTAGGCAGATATTTGGGCATTTTCACTGTGCTCTATAAAATGCAGCGTAAGGGCACTCTTATCTCTAGTCCCGGCTTGTAAGCAGCAGGAAGGAAATACTGACCACGTCATGGCAAACGAGACATGCAAAGAACTGCATGCTACCAAACTTGATAAACAGAATTGTGCTAAAAATGACAATGTGTGTGGGGGATGCACTCAACTCCACAATGCACGAAGTTGGGTGAAATTAGAACAGCTTAATAACAAGCTTTATCTTAATTATAACCTAGTTCTAATAAAAAGTCTGTAAGTCTAAGTGGCATTTCTAAAAAGCGTAATGTTTATGTAATGGGACAAAATGGACATAGGACCTGTGCTGTTCTCTATATTAATACTGGCAACTACTGGAAGGATAGGGAGTACAGGGTTGGAGGTGGAGTGGCTCTGTATATCAAGGAGGGTATACAGTCCAGTAAGATTGAGAATGTAAGAGAAATAGATTCGCTTACAGAAACACTATGGGTGGAAATAGTATGCCCAAAAGGAAGTTTAACTCTGGAAGCTTTACCCAGCAGATCAAAGGTTAGAGGATGATTTAGAAATAGCAAAATAATTAAGGACAGCAGCTAGACAAAATAACTGTGTCGTAATAGGTGATCTTAACTAAAGGCAGGGCTCATTTCCAGCCAGAACGCCCCAGGATGGTGTTCCGGCAGTAATGAGCCTAGGGGCGGGCACATGGAGCAAGCCCCGCCCCCAGCAGCCCTCAATCAGGCCACGAGGAGCGGGAAGCAGCACGTGCTGCCTCCGCTTTCAGTCACCACCACCACCAGCCAGAAGGCAAGGTAAGTTGGTGGGGCCCTGGGGGTGTAGGGGGCGGGGGCGCTTGTTTCCGGTGGGGTGGGTGGGAGCCCTGGCCTTCCCTGGCCCGCCCGCCTCAGCAGGTGAGCCAGGGAAGGCCCTGCCGAAGAGGGTGAGCTAAGGAGGGCCATGCCTCCCTGTGCCTTCCCCAGCCCTCCCACTTCGGCAGGCGGGCCAGGGAAGGCCCTGCAAGGCCCCACCCTCCCTGGCCCGCCCACTGCCTTCCCTGGCCCGGTTCTGCCTGTCAGAGGGGCCGGCACACTGGCCCCTTCTGTCAGGCAGAAGCGCCTGAGATCCTTCCCCCCCTTTTCCTTTGCCCCACTTGGAGGGGAAGGGAAGGGCGATGTCAGGTGGGGTGGCATATGCAAATGAGTTATGCTAATGAGCTCTTGCACCTCTTTTTCTAAGAAATGACCCCAGACTAAAGGTAAAGATTTCCCTTCCTCGAAAGCAATCAAACCCACACATCAATTGGGTCAATATGTGTTCAAGTCAGGAGAAAGAGATTGGACTTCTAGATACTCTCAATGACTCTGCCATGGAGCACATGGTCACAGAACCTACTAATGAAAGGCAATCCAGGACTTGGTCCGAAGTAATGTCCAAGACCTGGTGAGAGACGTAAATGTGATAGCACTGGTTGGGAACAGTGGCCATAACATTATTAAGTTCAACACTTATATAAATAGGGAGTTGCCCAAAAAGACCACTTTTAACTTTAGAAGGGGTAATGTCTCTCAAATGAGGGGGCTTGTGAACAAGTAACTGAAAGGAAAGGTAAGGAGGGTCAAATCACTTCAGGAAACTTGGGAGACTATTTAAAACTACAATCCTAGAAGCTCAGATAAAATGTATAGCGCAGGTTAGGAAAGGTACAAATAGGTATAAAAAAGGACTGCATGGTTAACAAACAAAGTAATGGAAGTGATAAAAGGTAAGAAGGATTTCTTTAAGCGGTGGAACGCTAGTCCGAGGGGCACAGGCAGTGGCAAATAAAATGCAAGTCAGTGATCAGACCAGCAAAAAGGGACTATGAGGAACATATTGCAAAAAACATAAAGACCAACAATAAAAATGTCTTCAAATACACTAGTGGCAGAACAGCCAGGGAGGCAGTGAGGCCCTTGGATGACCAAGGGATAAAAGGATTACCAAAGGATGATAGGGAAATGGACCCAATAGATGTTGTTTACCTAGACTTCCAGAAAGCTTTTGATAAATTTACTCATCAAAGGCTTCTAAGTAAATTCAGTAGTCATAAGGTAAGGGGGCAAGTCCTCTTGTGGATTCAAAATCGGTTAATTAACAGGCAACAGAGAGTGAGTATAAATGGGCAGTTTTCACAGTGGAGGGTGGTAAGCAGGGCGGTACCACAGGGCTCAGTACTGGGTCCAGTGCTTTTTAACTTGCTCATTTGGAGTGGAGTAAGCAGTGAAGTAGCTAAGTTTGCAGATGACACTAAGTTGTTCAGGTTGGTGAAAACCAGGGAGAATTGTGGGGCACTCCAGAGGGATCTGTCGTGGCTGGGTGAGTGGGCATTAACGTGGCAAATGAGGTTCAATGTAGGAAAGTGCAAAGTAATGCCCATTGGGGCCAAAAATCCTAACCATAAATACATGTTGATGGGATCTGAACTGGCGGAGACTGACCAGGAGAGAGATCTTGGAGTCGTGGTAGATAACTCACTGAAAATGTCAACCCAGCATGCAATGGCAATTAAAAAGGCCAACACTATGCTGGGGATTATTAGAAAGGGAATTGAAAACAAATCAGCAAGTATCATAATGCCCCTGTATAAATCGGTGGTGTGGCCTCATTAGGAATACTGTGTACAGTTCTGTTCACTGCACCTCAAAAATATATTACAGCATTGGAGAAAGTGCAGAAAAGATCAACTAAAATTATTAAGGGGACGGAACACTTTCCCTATGAAGAAAGGTTGAAGCGCTTGGGGCTCTTTAGCTTGGAGAAGTGATGACTAAGGGGTGACATGATCGAGGTTTATAAAATTATGCATGGGATAGAGAAGGTAGAGAAAGAAGTACTTTTCTCCCTTTCTCACAATACAAGAACTCATGGGCACTCCATGAAATTAATGAGCAGTAGGCTCAGAACAGATAAAAAGAAGTACTTCTTCACCCAAAGAGTAACTAACACAGAGAATTCACTGCCACAAGAAATGGTGGTGGCTACAAGCATAGACAGCTTCAAGAGGGGATTAGATAAACACAAGAAGCAGGACCCGCAATACTCGTGGGGTTGGTGTATTCCCCACGGCTCCCGGGCTGCCAAGGCTTCTCCCCCCCACTGCCACCC